GCAAGATTTATTGATAGTATCGAAATCCTACTTAATTCGAATAAAAGTAGTGTTGACAAATACGTGTTTGTTGAGCTCACTTCAATTTCGAATGAAAGCGTGAAGAAGAGACCGATCCCAACAAGACGACGGTATATTTCTTTTAGCCAGCTTCCTATTGATTTTATTGGAAGATTCTTGCTAAGTAATTATCGAGACAATCTTCTTCGATTCAAGTAAAAATATGCCAAGATTTCTTTCTTTATATGACGGACAGTGTAAAAAACAGAGTAAAATTCAAAAAAAGTATTCAATGAGATATATCCATCTTATTTGGTTAATGTGATGAAGAACTAATAGTGGAAGTTTCATATAATTATATAAGCAGAACTAACGTTTCCATTGAATTTCACATATACGTACACATGAAGGCATATAAGTACCCATACACAGACACACACAATTGCCACATGACTTAAACAAGCAAAATCACTTGATATCTCACAAAAATGCATCAATTTAAGGTATATAAACAGCATTTAGGGATAAGCTGATGTCTTTTTTATTTGACAGCTTGAATATTGATGAAATGTAAATTAAGAAATCTTAACATGCTACCAACGGAATCGAAGGAGATTGCCTTGAAGACAGCGTCAGGAAGAATGTTCTAGTACGTAAATTCAGTATGGAAGTGGAAAAATATAATTTTTTTCCATTCCTTAATGCCTAAGTCAGAAAATAAGATATCTATCAGAAGCCCAACTAACATTTTTTACAAATATGGGTGCCTTACACAAGCCAACTTCACCTTGAAATAATAATAAGAAAAGAAATTTTGAGGTAGAGTAAGGGAAAGTGACAATAAACAATGATAAGGGATAGATAAGTCTAATGGGATCCCGAAATTTTAGTTCCGACACCCCATGATAAATATAGCAGAAATAGTTTCGCTTAGGGAAGCTTAAGATCATCATTCTGGATAAGATTGCTATAAAATGTATGTAAATGTGACTATCAGAACAAAAACCCCTCTAAAAATAAGTAATTTTCGAAGATATGAAGATTAGGATGGTGTGGCTTATGAATGGTCGCGGTCTCCTTTCGTTATATAGAAGTTGTTTGACCTTGTTTTCGCAACTTGGTCATATTGGTAGGGAAACCTAGAGGAACGCATCTTGTCCAGAGTCTGAAGGTCCGACTCTGGAAAGTATCATGCATACAATGGACTCCGGACAAGGTGTATTCCTCTAGGTCTTCCTACTAATATGACTAAGTTGCGAAAACAACTTCTACGTAATTTTCGTTTATAATTAAGTTTTGGGGACTAACCGAACCGAAATAGGTATATCATATCTATAATGTACTGGTAGTCTCAAAAACCTACTTATGAACGAAAAAAGCGATGCAATTGATTGCTATAGCAAATACAACCTTGCTTCATCGACACTCACACCACAGAAAGTGATATGGAAAGGGCCTAGTCTTCTGTTGAATTCACATCTGCTCTATGACCCAAGATCGCCTATGGCAGTGTAGCGGAATGGTTAACATGTCGAGATTATATGCTGCACTATCGGTGTTCGCGTCCGGCTAGGGATGCCAATGAAACCCAGGCGAGGCCTAAATTGCAGTCCACCCTGGATGAGAATAGCTCACTGATATGTAAAATCTAATAAAAATGTAGGCATACTCATAACATTGTGGGGAAAATTCAATTACTAGTCCTATATCTCCTTTAACGAAATATGGTAAATAAATCTCATAAAAATAAGCATTCCTCTAGATATAGGTTTTAGTAAGTATAAACCTGTTTTTGTAACTGTGGATCTCTAGGCTTGATTCTAGACTCGCATAAGCGCAGTATATTTGTTTTGGCACTAGGCTGGTAAGGTCATCTTGATCCCATGAGCCAGATCCATTTTTTGTTCAAGAGGCTTAACATAGGCAATGAGTTCACCGAGTGATAGCTGGTTCCTGAATCTGCCTCTAAAACACCTCCTATTATGCCCTTCTGTTTTTAAGCTTCACATCACACTTGTTTGTCTTCAATGACTGGGTAAACTATGGAGCTCCTTGGATTGTTCTGATAACTTATGGTATGCCCAATCACATTTATAGGCTGATAAATATCCTTCCCGATGACACTTCAGGCGAGACCAGAATAGAATGAAGACTGTCAAAGCCTTATTTGCTCAGAAGCAAGGTCCTTCAGGACTGTGATCTGGCAGCATGACAGCAGCTTTTGCTAAAAGTCATTACAAGTCAGCATGCATATCTAGAAGTCCAGAAAAAATTATTACAATGGCAAGAGTTTAATAATAATCTCTGTTACTGAATACATGTTTATTTTAGTCGGGGAAATCTTTCCTACTAATCTCCTTTTGGGACATCTTCAAAGTGAAAAAATGCAACCAAATAAAAAATCACTAAGGAATTTACGGGATCCAAGCAAGTCAGCAAGCCTAATTATAGTATAAAGGGCTTAAACAAATTAAAAAATTCACAAAAGGAAAGATTCAGCTAGATAATCAAAAATTGAATTTATATAAAACAAAGGAACCAACTTACCTGTTTGCGAATCTAGACGCCTCTTGCAACAAAGCAAGTCGAAAATGAATGGGCAAACGAAGTGCTAGTCTCGTGAAAAGGATAGAAAATACCCAGGAGCTCAAAAGGCCAGGTCTGCCGAGCTGCGAATTGCTTTTATTTTCATCCAAATTTAGCTCACAAATACCAGGAAAAACATCCACACAATCATGGAGCAACTGATTCCAAGGAGGTGGAAGGTCAACCGATAGGTCGATATGGTCATTTATCTCAGATGTCGAGTTAACAGGATCCGGTATTTCAGTAGCTGACTTAGTCGTCTTTATGACCCACCGAATGGCTAGGAGAGAGAAGACCTCGCTAGACCGGAACGTCACGCATACTGGAAGAGATGTTAGTGAATCTGAGTCCTGTTTAAAGCTCTGGAAACTAGCTTCAGTGGACGGTCGCAGTGCCGAGATAGAAGAAGAGCAGAGCTCCACTTCAGCAGAAAGTGTCTCCATCAGTTTAATCAGGATACGAGCCGCCAATGTCGAGTTCAGTTGAGGCCAAATTTGTCGAAGTAGACGAGTCCGGTTTAGCTGACGCTGCTGTTGATCAGGAGATGAATTAGTGCCTGCCGGGAGCATGGCACAGCGGAGGAAACCGGCATAATCAAAGCTAGAGAAGGTGGATAAGGAGGGCGACAAAAGCGACAGTAAGGAGATGTGGGAGGACAATGGGAGGCCATGCAGCAGGAACAAGCCGGTTTCAGAATCAAGCTGCGAGATTTGAACCGGCTTGTTGATAGTCTGTAGTATAGAACGCAGCAACAATAGCAGCCGTTCAGGTGGGAGATGTGGATATAAACTATCAGCGATGGAAGCAATGAGGCCAGACAGTCCGGCGCCCGGCATTGTTAAGTAAAGCTCAATCAAGCGATCTACTTGGACTTCCAGTTGTTCAGGCTCATCATGACCGGAAGTCTCTTTGTGAAGCTCTGGGCAAGAGTGATCATCCAGAAGAGCCTCAAGACGAGCGTAGATAACTTTCTCGGGAGGTATCTGATAGCGTCGGGCCAGAATTAACCCAAAGCGTAGATGACGCTGAGAGATGCGGAAGATAGCAGTACGACGCACAAGGTCATCTGCGATTGAACAATAATTTAAACAGAAAAGACAGTTATATTCACATGCTGCCTGACAATTTTGTTAGCGTATATAACAGCTAGGCTCGATCTATTTCCTACAATTAAAAAAACACTTTCTATTGCATTCGCTTTAATTGTAGTTAAAATGGAGCATCGGATGTAGTTCAAAGGACACCAATAGTAGTCCTTCAATATTTCCGTCATTCCTTTCTCTAATATTCGCGTCCCAGCTACCACAGCATCCCATTCCCCTGTCCATCACTTCAATGCCAATATAAGTTCACACCTATCATGTACATTACTGTAAGACGAATCAGGATACATTCAGATATAAAGGTAAATATGCAAGGCTAGGTCAATTTATACAAAAGACCAACCTACTTTCCGACCCTTTAAAATAGCTAAATGGCAAATGACAATACCATAAATGTGGAGCCAGTTTGGAATACTTAATGATATAGAAGTCATGATAATTTTAGAATATGCACAATAATCTCGAAAATATAAATGCAATGACTATAATGCAATAAGATATAAAATGCAGCCTATTAAAAGCATCAGCCTAGTCGAGCCTTAATTCATGTCAGGTCGATTAAACAGAAGCTCTCTTTGTGTGGTAAATCCGCCAATGTGATGACGAAATTCTCGGATAAGACAAGTACTTTATTCGTAAGGATAACAGCTTTACATTCATTAATGTTTATTTACGCATGTAGTAATATTATATCAGTGGATCTATCAATAAATAAATTGACAGGATGCTAATTTGTTAAAAAGTGAGATATAGGGACCCTCGAAAATAGTCGCACATAATGGAGCTTGTTTTAGAAGAGAAGAAAGATTCGCACTAAAAATATCGGGGACTGCAACCTTAGTGATCTACACATTATGCAAAGATAAGCAAGCATTCGGAAGTGTTGCCCGCTTCATCCTTTATTCTGATATTTAGGTAATAATTTTTCGTCGAAATAGTAAAATCCAGCGATAAAATTCGGTTTCTAAAATATCATATGGTTAGTCGAACCATATCCCAAAGTTGACAAGGGACGTGATTTGGTTCATTAGGCATCGGATGTAAAAATTGGCAGTAAAATGCATAAGCAAAAGGTATTACTGGAAGAGAATAGTAGTAAATAAGAGGCTAATGTGCCATACCTTTACTATCAGAGATGAAAGCGTCCAGCGGGAGTCCAGGTTCTAGGGCTTTAATATTCTCAATAATTCTATACCCGATGGCATCCTGGATCCAACTGGTCAACCAACTACGACATGCTTCATCAAACAGAGGATTTTGCAGCCCGGCCATGATATAATCAAAATTTTGAGATGGCATCGGACCTTGGTTGGCGTCTGAATATCCTAGGTTCTTTTGATGTGGCGACATCTCTGATTCAAAAGCTGCAGACATGGCCAGCAGCCGCCAGCTGTGCAGTGAAGATTCGAGCTGTGAGGGCTGATCAGGTGATTCCCTCATATTCTCTTGTTGGGCCCAAATTACACTGGCCAACACCGCCGGCCAGTAAATCACTTGAGCACTAGCCTTACTATCTTCACTCACAAACCTGTCAGCATCGAATCTTTTCTCACTTGGCGACGGTCGACCTCGACCTCGACGCCAAGCCATAATCGTAGGTGGCCCTGCTGCGTAAGCTAAGGAAAGAGCCAGATCCTTGCTCGAAAGCTCTACGGTTGCAAGAGCCCAAAGGCGGGCCATGTCGACGCCGTATAAAGGCCCGGAAGGCTCTGGCAGTCCAGCAGCAGAGTGCAGAAAGGTGTGCCAAAGAAGGCGTTCTGGACTGGAGATCGTATACGTCGGCTCTTCTGGCATGACCGCGAATGGAGGGTAAATTGAAAGGAAGGGTGAGGAGATGTGCGTTTTCTGCTGCTGCTGTTGCTGACAGCTTGACTCCAGCGCCTGATCAAGCCAGAGTTCGGCAGTACAGACTAATTGGGCGAGGCGCGGGAGAACGAAGATAGATAATTCGGTGGGACAATGGACTGTGTGATCGGCACAGGTCAGAGCATAGCGGGCCAATCGAAGACGAAAATCTTCAACCTCGGTCAATCGTTTGGGTGTTATGGTCTCGATACCAGCCACTGCATAGAAGAGCGGACGCTGATGAATCTGCCCGTCATTCAAGTAAGAGGAGCTACCCGCCGCCCAGAGGCAGGCTTCAATCCAAGAGGCAGAATCACCAGGCGCAGTTATGATATTCTCGAGAAGACCGCGAGCCCGTTCAGCCAGCAACCGGGCTGCCATTGGATTGGGCCAATTAACGTCAAATGTTGCACTTGGGTTGGCCCCAAGTACTCGGAATATAGCCTCGGCCAGACACCGACGGACGTCAATCAGCCGAGTGGAGTCAGAGTCAAATTGAAGATCATCACCAACTGATCGAGTTGATTCAGAGTCTGTTTTGGATAAAAGGAACCAGCTAACCTGATCTTGGAGCTCAGTCTCATGTTGAGATCCGAGTGGTTCAGGCAGAACAGAGCCAAATAGATCAAATACTAAATCTTCAGGACCGATGTGCCGTTGAACGAAGGCTAAGCAAACCTGGGCCAGGGCATTAGTAAAAAGGGCTCGACGTCGAGCTCGACTTAACAAGGCAGCAGTGCTGTTTGGCTCAGCTTCAGGCAACCAGTCAGACCGAAGCAGGCGAGCATGAAAAAGATTCTTGAATTGATGAACTCCGGCCGAGGGACAAGAATTTGATAGGAAAGACCCGGTGCAGAGCTTGGAGGTAAGGATGGCTAGACGATTAAGGAAGGCGATTGCATTAAGCAAACAGGCCTCAAGGTCGAGAAGGCGATGAAGTCGAATAAAAGAGACTTGATTGAAGGAATTCTTCCGCGACAATGAGGAAGTATACGAGGTAAATGTAGGCGCCGCAGGGCAACTAACTGCACAAGAAGTGTTGGGGGATGAAGTAGTGGTAGGAAGGGGGTCGACGGAAGAGACAATATCAAGCTGGGGTGACTTGAAGAAGAGACAGATAAAAGCGAATTCTGCCTGGTCATCAGGAGTCTCATACATTAGACTAAGATCAGCGTAGTCCCTGACAGCCTGTAGTAGTATTCGTAGCCACATCTCTCGAGATGCCTGTATTTAAAATAAAATAAAAAAATTCCTACAAGAAAACGAAACGAAATGTACAATAAAGACTTGCAGCAATGAAATGTGATTTGCTTACACTTTACTAGAGGTCAATTATCGGGAGCGTAACTGAAGAACTTGTAATAGCGAAGTAGGGATAAATATTTTATTCAAATTGCCTATTATTGGATAAATATAGAGAGAACGACTAAACATATAAATCAAGATATTTGAAAAAATACCTAAATATAAGACTATTATGGCAAGTGTAAAAGATTGGGATAACTCTGCGCAAAAAATCCATCCCAATTCGTACTCCTAATTCAAAGCATTAAGACACTAAAAGACTTTTTGCTTCATCATTTTCATCAACAAG